GCACCTAAAGTGCAGTTTGAAAGGGAAGTTCTTTTGCTGATACCAAAGGAATGTTCAAAAAAAGCCACTCCTCAGAGTACTCCCTAAAGAAGTATAATCAAAGGAGTATTAGTTCACACAATGGAAAGAATGAGGAGTTGAACCTCACCCAGAAGGATGGTAGGACAGACACACTCTGGAATTCCATGGGCAGGGATTGCACAGCCCAGGACACGGGGACTGAACAGAGCAAAGGAACCACAACCACGCAGAGGGGGAATATTTATCAGTTTTTGGAAAGCCTACATATTTTAGATGGTTCAGCTCTTCCTCTGAACCTCTCCTGCTCTAATCATGTCCCAGCATCACATCCTACCCTGGACCAGAGCTGAACCAGCAGCAACCAGGTCTCAAAGTAGGTTATTATACAGCAAAATTAAAACACGTGACTTATGGCAATGCCTGGATCATAATTCATATTTTTGGAAGTTAGTGATAAGTGTTTTACAAGCAAAGCTCTGGAAATATCAAATATTTAAAAGCAGACAGATAGGAATTCCTCTTGTAGGATCTGTCACGCAGATTCATTATGAATCATTTGGATCCCACACAGCTGTCACAATTTCAGTCATGAGAGCCCAGACATTACAAACTAAAGCTTTATTTTTAGATGGATTCATCAGTTGTCATTTTTCAATCATCAAAGAATTAATGGAATTGCATTCTATGTTCTTCTGTGGCTCTAACTTTACAATCAACAACCTCACTGATGGGAAGTGACCTCTGAGCTTCCCCCTGAGGAAAGAATCAGTGGCTGTAAGTAACTAAATCAGCTGATGACACAGAAACCACACCACAAACATCACCTTTTCTAAATTTCACTGCTGGTAGATACTGTCACATTAACGAGCCTGAGCCTGAAATGTCCCTGCTTCATTTCCCACCAAGCAGAATAAAAATAGAAGCTACAAAGCACTTCCAAGGGTTGAGTCTTAATGTCAGGGCACAGTTGGACATCCTGCATCACAGAAACAGCATCATGTCTACAGATGGAGTCAGCAGGAAAGCCCTGGCTTGCAGAATAAAGGCAGGGCCATCCCATCATGAGTTGGGGAAGAAGACACCCTTGGGAATGCACTGGCACAGGGAGAAGTGGTGAAGCAGTAAATTAAAAACTGTAACCAAAGTTCAGAAGGAAATACAATATTCCTGCACCTTTTCCTGCAGCTTCCAAGGAGCAAAGCTGGACTCAGCACAGGTACATAAAACACAGGACTGCTCAATTCCATAAGATATCCATGATGCAGCTCCATATCCCCAGCCCAACTCTGTTCCAATCCTTAATAACTCTTGTCTTTCATGGCTGGAAACCATTCAACACATCCACTGCTTCTGAGCACAATTATTTATTCCATTATTTCAGGATCCAGGAAAAGGCTGTGCCTTAATTACAACAACATGTGCAGAACTGCAAAGTCAGTTCCCCATCACTGGCTTCTCCAGGAGGCTCCAATTCTCTGGGAAAACATTTGCTCTCCTAACACAAGGAGCCAGATCCCAGCTCTGCACAGCCCTGGAGCAGCAGTGGGATGAAGAGAAAGAACATCAGGACTGCAGAACAACCACAGGGAAACCCAAAAGTGTCCCTGCAGGTCAGGCCTAAGAGCCACTCACAGAACACAGAGAAAATTTTTGAGGTTGCTTTGGAGGGCATTTCCAGGCACATCAGGTAGAAGCTACAGACAACAGTTTTGTTCTGGTTAGGGGCAACTACCTCTAGAATTGTCTGTTTGTAACAATTTAAAGTATGAAACTGTGCCAGGGGAGGTTTAGGTTGGGTATCAGGGAAAGGTTCTTCCCCCAGAGGGTTGTTGGCACTGAACAGTGTCCTCAGGGTTTGGTCACAGCCCCAAGGCTGCCAGAGCTCCAGGAGTGTTTGGACAACGCTCTGAGGGACAGGGTGGGATTGTTGGGGTGTCTGTGCAGGGCCAGGAGTTGGACTCTGATCCTTGTGGGTCCCTCCCAGCTCAGGATATTCTAAAAAAAGTCAGCTTGCAGAAAAGATGATGAAAAGAACCCCCATGTTTGCTATCAACATTTACTAAGACAACCGAAATTCATCCAAGTTCTCCTATAATTCTTCTTTTGATTCCCTGTTTTTCTAAGTATTTAGCATTCAGAGAGGAACAAACATACAAGGAACAAGACACACAAACCAAAAGCAAACCAATCTGACAGCTCAGTGGCTTCCATGAGTCCCAACTACAGAGTTACCTGGAGCTGTCTCAAGGCAATGGATCATCACCCAAATGCTTTCAGTAGCTGAGAGTATTATTTAAATGAGACAGAATTTACAGGTCAAGATCATCACCCACTTGAAGCCCTTCACCTTCCATCATCTCCAAGACAACATGAGAATAACAGACCATTTTCACCCCAATTTTGAGAACTTTGCTGCAGGGTTTCCTCTGCTCCCCAGTCCAAGCCCAAGAACATCCCAGTCGTGTTAATGCCACAGCACAATTTATATTTACTGATCCTAAATTTGTGCAGCAGAGGGAACGCTGCAGATGCTGCCTTAACGAACCCAACATCCTTCGGGTGAAGCTGCACCACGAACACAACTCGAATTTCTAGGACAGCTGCAGGGTTTGTGCCTCCCTGTCACTCGGGGGGGTGAAGGAGGGAAATTTACGGGGCCGCCAATTTCAAAGGCGTTATTTTGAAAACAAACATTTTGCGGAGTTGTTTCCCAGGGGGAAAAAAAAAAAATAAAAATGTTTTCATGACTCAGAAGAAACAAAAAAGTCAATCCACCTCCTGTGGTAACGGGCCAATACCAACAGCTCCCCACATAAGGAATACGTGTCAACAAACAATATCCACATTCCACCAGGGGATAAAAACACAATCAACGTGAAAAGGCTCCGGGTCTCTCGGGTAAGAAAAGAGGCTGCACAACATGTAAAAGGATGCTTGGGATGATCTATCCCACCAAACATGAAACCTGCACCTCAACCACGGCGTTATTCTGGAGTCAGGTCCATATTAGTTTCCCACAAACCTGCTCCCCTTTATTTTTTTTTTTTGTTTTCCTGGCAAGGCATTTAACTGTGCAAAATTGCCTCGCCAGCGACAGATGTGAGTACAAAGAGAAGCGATTTGCTACAAAAGGATTAATACATTTTGAAAGTTACTGTCTGGCAACCTGTCAAAGGGACTTTTATTGGTCTGTTTTATTATGGCTGTCGATAAGCCCGGTGGCACACAACCCACACTGGTGTGCAGGGAGCAGAATGAGGGCAGATCTCCCCTGGCTCTGCTCACAGCCCTGGCCTGCACCACCACAGAGGGCATTTGAAAGGCTGGCCCTTGTCTTCTCCAGCATTCCCAGCACGAGGAATGCGTGGGCAGTGGTGAGCAGGGCATGCGCCCTTGGAAGTGGACATGTGGCCACTTGTGTCACCTGTTTGGCCACTGAGCATTTCATATCTGTTTGACCCTCAAGGATGTGACACCTGAGTGACCATCAAGGATTTGACACCTGTGTCACCACCGAGGATTTGGCAGCACAGCCCCTGGAGCCCTTTGACCACTGACCATTTCACACCCATTTGACCACGGACCACTTGACCCCCGTTTGACCACTGACCATTTCATACCTGTTCGACCAGGGACCATTTGACACCCGTTTGACCCCCAAGGACTTGACAGCTGTTCGACCACTGACCTCTTGTCACCACCAATCAACCCTTTTCACACCTGTCTGACTACTGACCACTTGTCACCTGCTTGGCCACTGACCATTTCATACCCGTTTGACCAGGGACTGCCTGTCACCCGCCTGACACCCAAGGATCTGTCACCTGTTTGACCACTGAGGATCTGTCACCCATTTGACCACCAAGGATCTGTCACCCATTTGACCACCGAGGATCTGTCACCCCTCTGACCCCCAAAGATTTGCAGCCGCCATCTGAGCGCAGCCCCTGGAACTGTGTGACCACTGACCATTTCACACCCCTTTGACCACAGGTGCCATTTGTCACCCATTTGACCAGGGACCGCCTGTCACTCCTCTGACCCCCAAGGATTTGCAGCTGCCATCTGAGCACAGCCCCTGGAACTGTTTGGCCGCTGACCATTTTGTACCACTGACCACTGACCATTTCATACCCACTGACCATCTGTCTGACCCCCAAGGATCTGTCACCCGTTTGACCCCCGAGGATCTGTCACCCCTTTGACCCTCGAGGATTTGCTGCTGCTGTCTGAGTGCAGCCCCTAGAACTGTGTGACCACTGACCATTTCATAACCACTAACCATTTCATAACCACTGACCATTCGTCTGACCCCCGAGGATGTGTCACCCCTTTGAACCCCAAGGATTTGCTGCTGCTGTCTGAGTGCAGCCCCTGGAACTATTTGGCCACTGACCATTTCATACCCACTGACCATTTCATACCCACTGACCATCTGTCTGACCCCCAAGGATGTGTCACCTGTTTGACCCCCGAGGATGTGTCACCCGTTTGACCCCCGAGGATCTGTCACCCCTCTGACCCCCGAGAATTTGCTGCTGCTGTCTGAGTGCAGCCCCTAGAACCGTGTGACCACTGACCATTTCGTACCCACTGACCACCTGTCCGACCCCCGAGGATGTGACAGCCCGCGGACCCGCCGGTACCTCCCCACCCGCACCAGGCACCCCTTCCCCGCGGCCCCGCCGTGCCCCCGATGCCCGGGCACTCCGCGGCCTCTCCCGGTTGCGGTGACAGCCGCGGGTCGCCCCTGCCCGGCTCGGGGGCAGCGCCGGGCGGGCTCGGGGGTCTCGGCCGGGTCGCGGGTGCCGCGGGGGTGCCCCGGGCGGTCCCGGGCCGGGATGGGCGGCAGCGCCGGCCCCGCTCCGGGCACGGCCGGGCGCGCCCGCCATGTTCGCGGCGGCTCCCGGGGCCGAGCGGGGCCGAGCGGGGCCGGGGCCGGCGCGGCCCGAGCCCGGCAGGTGCCCCGGGGATGCTCCGAGCGCTCCCGCGGGGGCTCCGCGATGCGCCGGCGGCGCGGCCGCTCACCCGAAATCCTGGTCCATGGACTTGAAGAAGAACTTGTAGCTGTGCACGGGCCGGTTGCTGAGGACATTTTTGAAATCGGCCAGCGTGACTTTCTCCGGCGGCACCGGCAGCTTCACCAGGTAGGGCGTCTCCTCCTCGTCGATGTGGTAGATGATCTTGGTCTCCGCCATGGGCGAGGGGAGCGGGGGCGGCCGGCCCGGGGCCTCCCGGCCGGCGCTCGGCTCCGCTCACGGCCTTCCCGACAGGAAGGGAGCTCCCGGCTCCCGGGATTCCGCTCCCTGCACTGCTCTCTAGCTGCCCGACCCGGGAACGGCAGCGCCGCCCGCCCCGCCCGCATCCTCCTCCCGCCGCCCCGCCGGCTGCCAGCGGAGCCCGGCCCGGCCGGGGATGCGGGTCCGGGGTGCGGGGGGGTCCCGGGGGTGCGGGGGATGCGGGTCCGGGGTGCGGGAGGTGCGGGGGAAGCTCCCCCGGTGCGCCCTCCGCCCGCACCGCGCCCCCCGCGCAGCGCCCGCACCGCCCCCGCGGGATGGGGTGGGATGGGATGGGGATACGGATGAGGATGGGAAAGGGATGGGAAGGGGGAGGAGAAGAGCACAGGGATGGGACGGGGAAGGGGAAAGAGAAGAGAAAGGGAAGGGGGTGGGATGGGGATGGAGAAGGGAAAGGGGACGGG